TTTTGCAACTCACCCCATAGTTTAAATTCACATAAATTTGACTCAGTTGGATACCAGATGTAACATATAAGTCATTAAGGTTAATTAAATGCCCATTTCAAACATCCTGACTTATGAATATGTTTCAACAATCCCTGTCAGAATAATGCTGTCTGAAGCGTGACAACACAGACTAAAAATTAGGATGAATGTGATACAGCCCTCATTCAGTCACATATCAATGAGAGCATGCTGAAAAAGTAGTTTCATCTCTCTGCACCTCAAATGTCTTTGCCTTCTTTTGAAAATTATTTTGAAGAAGTACTGAATAAATATTTTATTTTGTGTTATGCCACAATTAATAATCCTTTTGTCCCTCTAACATTTAAATCTCACTTCCCCCAAAAAATAAGTGCTATAACGCAGGGGGGGAAAAACCAACAAAGTACTTCTGGCAGACAAGCGTACATCTCACACTCTTATGAATTGAAACAAATATTCCATACTGCTTCTGGTGCTAAGCCTTTGGAGTCAGCATGAAACTAAAAGATATACAGGTGTAAAATGCCTACTTTCTCCACAGAGAAAGTTTCTTGTATTATCCATTTTCCAGTGACTTACACAAATGACCAAGATTAGTTAAACATAGAGATGTTACAATAAAATAGCCTAGTATGTCATGTATGTGTCAGCTTAGCCGGCATCTCTAATGACTACTATGAACTAGGAGGAGGGAAAGGAAAAAACACAATACAGCTTCCTGTTCAAATGTTAAGAAATATACTTGATTAACCTCACATCTCAATGCTACCAACATAACACAGACAGGCATCTCACTGAGAAGCACGGCCTTGTCATACATCCTCTAGCTATCCCAGTAGGTGGACTAAGTACTCCTCAACTGCAGTAAGCTTACCCATCAGCTTTAACAAAAATTGTAAAGCTAGTACTTGAAATAGCTGCATTTTTTAAATGGTCTATCAATGTTTGCTGAACTTTTCTATCCCAAAATAACACACTGGAATTGCAATTTTCAGAACTTTCTTAATGCTATTAGAAACGTAAGCAATTCTTTTTAAATGGAGAGAGAACATTCACACATTTTAAAATCTTATTTTAACATGAAAATGTTAACACCTCCTTTCTACTTTCATATTTGAGAGCCACAGTTCTACATATGCAACCGTGTATTCAGTATGGCATGACTCTCAATATCCAGCACACCAGATAGTACAAGAATAGAGGAAGAAACAGCCATCTAGCATTGCACCGTATGTCCCAAATCATTCTTTGTTTGGTCAAGTTTGAGTCGGTGCATTAGTGTCACTACAGGAATATAAATCATTTTGAATAAAAAGTCTAAGACCAAACAAAGACCAGGGGATAGGACAGCAAACTGGAAATGAGAGTGGTTAAAGGAAAAAAGCAGTCTTCAACTCTTGGTGAATGAGTAAGTTCACAAGGAAGTAGTTTAAATAGAATCAAATAGTATACTGAGAGGAAGATGTCTGCATTACTCCAGTAAGAATATTTTAGGTTACTACCAGTTCTCAATTTTAGTCTTATTTCATGCAAAAGTGTATTTTGGTGTTTTATTACTCAAATTTTCCTTTACTTAGGGGAATTACAGGCCCCAACAAAAACAAAAAAAAAATCAGGCATACTGCAAAAGAAGAGAATACATTCCAGAAGTTACTGCTTCTCCATGAATTTAAAAACTTCTTACTTCACGTAAAAGCATATTTATACTTCACAGTGTACATACCCTTTTAATAGCATGAACAATATATTCTGTTGAGTACAGATGTATTCAACTGTGGGAGTTCTTGTACCAATTTGCCTTCTGAGAATGTTGTTGAAAATTTGCGCAACGTCTTTTTTGCCCTGTCAAAAACATTAGCAAGTTAAACACATAATATTCAAGTCCACTTGGAAAGTTAACAATTAAATATGACCATCATCTCACGCATTCGTAGCGTGCGAGTTCTGTGGCTCAGTCAGCCTCTGTACTCTGATCTTAAAGAGATCAAATATTCTGTTTCTTTATACCCATTTCAAATACGCCAAAGCACTCAAAACATTACGGCATGTTGCAGACATGGTAATTTACATTAAGAAGTAAAGCCAGTTGATGTTTCATCACATAGTTCTATGTAGCATCATTCTCCTGGGCTTCTACACTTGCTTTTGCTAATAACATACCAGTTTTTAACTGTGCTCTTGCCTGAAAGTGTGTTTCTTCAATATTCCATTATCCTCCCCTCTCCTCTTGTCTAAAAATACGTAATGCCACCATTAAGAGTATGCAGAGCATTTCTGACTGCAGTGTTAACATCCAACTTAAAACTAAATAAATAAAAACTACCAAGAGAAATCATCCACTGACCTGAAACGCAAGTCTCACATTTTTCAATGCACAAAAGTAGTATAAATAAAACCAGGATGCGGGAATTCAGCACAGATTATACACAAAAAAATGCATAAGGATAGCACCAGACAGTATAAAAGGAGCTGGGAATGTTCTCTGTTGAATATGTGTACACCTCCTATTTATTTCCTCTGTCAGACCATAGCTAAAGATGACAAATTGGTATGGACATCTAACAAAAAGCTGTGTATAAATATAAGCACTTTTCACTGTCATTCACATGCACCATTTAAAAGCCAGATTTCTGCAATTAACTTTCCATTCTGGATTGCCATAAAGACAATTTCAGGACTATCTGTTATCAGATCTAATCCAGAAAAATCCTAGGTAAACTTGTACTAAGCCTGGACTTGCAAATAAAAGCCTGTTAAGCAACTCCACCTGAAGGTTCCCTGAATGTTGTACAGAAAAAACATACGTGGAAAACGTTTCTTGACAATCTCTAGCTGTACTGTAAATGCTCTGAGTAACATCAGCAAGCCTTTGATTAAAATGCAGGGCATATTTAATCAGCACGAATTTTTAAAACAACAGCAATTAGTCAAAATTATTTCAGTTTCCTAATCAACACCAAGAAGATTGCATAAGAAAAAAAAAAATCAAATGTTTATAAATCCGTAGGAGGTCTGTAGTTTTACAAATGGCATGTTTGTGAATTACATGGACAGTTTTGTTAGTGTTGTTTTCAGGACATAAGAGTTTGTTTGTAAATGCTTGTTTTCTCAATTACAATTCCATTGAAAGCCAGCCCAAAGCAACACCAGAAGTCTTTGTTCTGAAATGAGTAGCGCAGTGTTTCTAGAAATTGCTTTACTCAAACTCCACATAATATAGTCATCAGCTCATTCACTAACATTGCCAATTTTGCGCTGGATCTCACAATTTGCTTTGGATTCACCAGCAAGAACAGCATTTCCTTATTACGCACATAATTGAACTGATAGTGGTACACAGTAATACCACAGCTCGTTATTGTTAGAAGGATGTATTACTAAGTGATCTCATGGCCTAACAAGGGCAAACAGACACTGAACCCTGTGCCAATAGTCACGACTGCGAGAGGTGAGCGGGAGACTGTGCTAGTATTGTCTTCTGAGCAGAGGGATTCAGGCTCCCTTATGCAAAAGGCGTTTTTGTTGTTTGAGGGTTTTTTCTTAATTTTAAAAAAACAAGAACTAAAAAAACAAGAGTTCCACAAGGGATACTACCTCTCCTACAGACACAGGAATCTGCAGGGAAGTAACTGGTAAGTTTGTAACACTGGTAAGCAGGCGGTTGTGTTGACTGCTTTACTTGGAAGGCAAGCTTCCAGATAAGGATATAATTTTAAACAGGCCTTTACATACAGCAAAGTCTGGACAGAGAGGCAGTTTCTTAATTAAAACAGTAAAACATTAAATTTGTTGCTTTTTTGGTTTTTACTTTGTTACTTTTCTGGGTTTTTTTTTACCAGGCCATTCATTTGAGACTGTTTAAGAGTCAGAGTGAACAGTCCCTGTCTATTCCTCTTCCTCTACTCCAGGAATAAGAGTCAAGTTCTTGATCAAAAAAAAAAAAAAAAAAAGCAGCATTTGGTTCATCATTGAATGACCTCAAGCTGTGGTGGGGCACCAGAAGGAACAAATGCTAGACCTACTCATCAAGTTTAAGAAACAACAGGAAATCAAGTTCGTATCTCCACTGGTAATGGAGAAAGCATTTCAAATGCAGTAAACCCCCAACCATAGAGATCTGGGATATCGAAGCCAACATCTGATTGACTCTGTAACAGTTGGGAAGCTAGTGCACATTTGGAGCACAGGTGTGTTGACATTAATTCTAGGTAACAACAATAGCTGAACAGCCTGCCAGATCCCATCCTTAAAAAGCAGACGTGATCCAGCCTAGAAAGCGGTGTGAATGACTTTCTCTCAAGGGGGAACCGTCATATCCTCATGTAACAAAGCAGCAGAAAGTCCACAACCAGGAAACCACTCACAATCTTTTCAAGTCCCCTTAGAATAAAATGAATAGTTCTCCTTAATGAGAGCAAGCCTGTACAAATTGTTATCATTCCTCATAACCAGGAGACAACGAAGGTTTCCTTCGCTAATAACCGGGCTGAGTAAACACCAAGCTGATAAGAATCTAGAGGTCAGCAGAATCCAGATGACATTTCATTATTTCCTTTCTTCAGCAATTAAAGGCCATCCCATTTCAGCATTCCCCCTCAGTTTTCCCAGGTCTCCTTGCTTATTTAAGAACCTGAGTGTTTTATGCTTGGTATAAACAGTTGTGTGGGTAGGGAAAAAATACCACCATATTACAATTAAACACAAATCAGAGGGAGTTATGGGTGGGGTGGAAGGGAGAGAAGAAAGAACAGGGAAGAAAGCCATTGTTTTTGGAATGTCATACTACAATAGGATTTTAAACCATTGTGTTTGCATCATGAACAACTTGTTTATGAACAATATCCCTTCTAGGCAACCTTAAGTGGGATAGTCTTTATGGTCAAGGCAGTGGAGTGAGATCCATGGGTTTTGGCTCCTTTCCTAGACAACCACACGCTTCTTGCCGGTCCAATAGGGAAAACAGGAAGATCCAATCATGCTGCAATTTCTTATAACTAAACAGGGTGATTTCTTATATGGCACTGGGAAGCTAAATTATTCTATACGATGTGGTGACAAATGCCAGATAGACATTTGTATAGAGATACATTTGAACACAAGTTAAGTATTGCTATTTTGAAGCAATCAATAAAAAATAGGTTTGCTGGTTTTTTTAATAAACAGAAGAAAGAGATGAGGAAAACAGAAAAAAGGTTGCATCTCTTTTCTGAAGAGAGAGACATACTGAACTGTTATTAAAACCGCTTTACCTTAATTATTTAAAATTCTTCATAAATCTTACAATAGTTCTTTTACTTTTTGAAGCAATTTAACAAGATAATATAGATATGCCTTGTAGTATTAAAGCTTGTGCTCACTATGGTATTACTAGTAAGATATTAACCCTTCGTGTACACAACAATTAAGAATTATTCCATAATTTTAACAGAACTGTATCATCAGGATTAAAGGTTTATCTACTTCAGTGTTGTGTGGTTTATGTGTCTAAATTCACAGATTTAATATTTTGAATTTGCGTAATTTTCTAGGTAGTTTGGAACAATGAGTTTTCTTTCTAATGGGTTTGCCCCAGCCAGAAAAAAAAAACTGAAGAGCGAGAGATGTCTTAACCAATTAAATGGCAGGAATTCAGATGTGTTTATTTTAACATTTACAATATAAGAAATGTCAAACTTCTTTTCTTACCTCAAAATCAATTAGCTGCAAGTCGGCTACTAGGGTACTAAGAAGACCACTGTTGTACAGCTCTTGAGCAAGCTGTGCCACAGCTTCTGTCTGTGGTTCTTTTTCATTTGTGCCATACAGTATCTCTTTCATGGCAACAAGGTTTTTTGAGACCTCCTCAGTGGCCTAAAGAAAATGAGAAAAGAATGCAGTTAAAGCACAATGTCATTTGTCTTTGTTAGTGCACACTCTACTATTCTTAACATCTGCAACCTTCCATTAAGGGGGCAGTAGGGGGATGGAAATCAGGAAGAGACAACCTGTTTAAAAAAAAAAAAAAAAGATAATCCTTCTGCAAATAAGATTGTTGTATGTTATTTAAAAAAAAAGCAGAGGCAAGACACACGCTATTTATTTGACAAGTTACGAAAAGTAAAAATCTCTTCCTTTTTACTACCTTTAAACTTCCCATTCAAAAATCCCCTGAAGAATAGCAATGGGATGGAAAGAACCCGACAAGATTTCCGTTCTGTAAAACAGAGGTACACAGGATCTAGACTGGAAAACATGACATGGAGACACATGCCTGCCTCCAGTGAACTGCTCAGAGAGACCAAATGTACTCCTCCCACAGATTTTGCACTCATCAGGTTTTGTCAAATACTAGGCTCCCATTCCAGCCAGTGGGGATGAAATTTTTCCTTTCCGACTAACAAAACCCCGAAGAGAGCTTCCTTTAATTTTCAGGTTATCTCAGTATACAAGAACAAACTGGCACACAGACCCAGAAAGAGGTGCACTCGAAAGAACACAGTAATACAGGAGACAATTAAAAGTCTAAGATGCTTCCCATTTGAGGTCCATCTTACAGAAGACAGACAGATCTGACCTCTCACTTGGGGAAGCCAGTATAAGGAATTCCTAAGTTGCTGTGATGGGCTGGAGCAACGTTTAGCAGTGGGAGCAGAGTTCTCTCATGAGTTAAACTAAAAAAAAAATAAAAATCAACAAGTACACTTCTAAATATCCACTTCTGAATCTTAAGACACAGTTATCTTGGCAAAAAAAGAAGAAATACTCCTTTCAATATATATGTTTACGTAGCTTGGGGGCAATACACTGAAAATTATCATCATGAATAGCTGGTTTAATTATATTGTATTAGCTCCTCATGTGCCTAAAAAGTATGAATGGTTTGTAAGTCCACTAATTTTTAGTAATTAAATGAACCTACCAACAAGGTATGCATACACTTTAAAGTATTTATGATTGGTAGCACACGGAAAATCAATGAAGTGAAAAAATTATCCCTTTCTGGATATTGCCTGTCTTATAAGGACTATATATGTAAGGAGATTTCTCATTTGTACGTTATATCTAGGAGATCAACATGACTCATGCACTATTCAAGCCAAAGCCATTCCAGCTTTGCTAGGTATGCAAGTCAGGATTCCGTGACCTTTAAGGGGGCTCTGTATAATTTTTAGCTCCTCCACAACTTTCCATTCCCCGTTGCCTCCCTCTTCTTGCTAACTGCAGTTCCTAGTCTCCCTTGCCTCCTCCTTAATCAAAATTCCAAAGGATTTTCTGTGCACTGTTAGTAAGACAGGAAGAAGCAGGTGCTCGATATGAGTGCTTAGATTCATGACAGCTCCTGAAGACATAAAACGAGAAAGCCAGCTCACCATATTGTAGTAGTATTACGCCACACAACTGTTCTAAATCTTTAAAATTCAGAAGAAGTATCTCTTTACTAGGAAAAGAACAGGAACATCTGTCAAACACAGAGATATGACAAGATGTCTTTGAAGCATGGCTACCAAGAAAAAAGGAAGCAGTAATAAAAATTCTATTGCAGTTTGTCCCTGCACACTAATTCAGAAAGCAAGATGAAAGAGGAAGAAAGGCAGAGGTTCAAGTAGCTAACCTATTTTAAGCAAGACAGTGGCAATATTGAGGGCATGCCTGCAATTAAGAACAACGCCAGTGGAGAATTTTTCATATCAAAACCCCAGAAAACAGAACAACCCCCCCAAAACTTTAATAATCACACTGGAAGGTTCTCCCTCACCACCACCCCAAGAAAGATACTAGTAATGGAAATGTTTACAAATCAGACAGGAGAAAAAAATACAGCATTTCCAAACAACGAGTTCTGTTTTAAAATCAAAAAAGAAAAAAAAGCCTTCTAGCCTAACACGAATATACAACTCAGTAACTTCAAGAGGAGATACCAGGCCTGCAATTTATTTCTCATGCTCTTCAATACTGTCAAGACCATCTGAACGTGCCTCACTTGAACTTGGAATGACATAGGGCTTTAGTGGGAAGTTACAGTTAGAGACACAGAATCATTGAACAGCTTAGGTTGGAAGGTGCCTCAGGAGGTCGTCAGGGTCAAACCACCTCCTCAAAGAGGGCCAGCCTCAAAGTCCTATTAGATGATCAGGCTCATGGCCAGCACTGCTCTGAACAGCTCCATGGATGGACACTCCACAACCTCTCTAGGCAACCTATACCAATGTCTGACTGCCTTCATCAAGGAAAGAGACTTGCTTGTTATCAGTTCAACTGAGGCCAAGCTATCATTTCTGGATACATACTACAAATACAGAAATACGAGTGTTTCTGAAAGTATTATATCAATAACCAAGGTCTTTTGATGCACTACACTTCCATAAAATATGACACTTCTATATTCCTTCCTCTTCTACTCTAAAACTCAACATCAAAAGGACTAGAAAACCTTACAAATTTGTTCTAGAATCTCTCTATTCCATATTCCATGAACTCTAGAACATAGTTCAAATACATGATGTGCAGAGCTGCTTTTGCCGTTTCAGATACAGAATGGAATTTACATAGCTACACTGAAAAATATAATGCTACATTAAATATCAATGTTAAGAGCTAAGTGAAAAACCAGTAAAAAAAGTCAAGACAGACAAGAGAAGGCTAGCTTGCAGTACCTGCAAGACTTCTTAAGATACTGAAATCTAAATAATTGCCTTAGGCACTGCTTTATCAGGAAAAAGAGCTCTAGAGAAAAATCAAAATGCACAATGAACTTTATCCAAAAACCCATGATCAAACATGGAATTAACAATTAGACATCATGTAGCGATATATATAAAATACATGTATTCTAATATAATACATAGGCAGGATATACTTTATATATACAGAATATATATATACATGGAATATATAGTATATATAGTCTAAATATTATCATCTGTAAGTAAATAAAAAAACATAAAACATACATTATATATTTCTATAGATATTAAAAGTTATATTTGTTCTCTATACTGAGAAGAAGCAACCATAGAACAATCAGAGTTTTAGAGAAAAGTTCTGTGACAAGTCACTTCGAAGTTCAATGGTGCCAGACAATCAAGACCATTTGAGGACAAGTCAAACTATAAAAGTAAAAGGAAAAGTAAGGAAAATAAAGAAAGTACTTATTTCTCTATTTTTATCAAAGACGGGAAAATATTATTTAAAAATAAAAACAGACACCATGAAGTCACATGTATGACTGTCGCACCAGAATCTGCTGCGTGTCTTTATAGTATCCATGAATCATGATGGTTTATTCCAGTCTCTAGGGTATTTCACAGTTATTTCCAAAATCTACTATTTCCTTAAATGCTAAGCAGTGCAAATACTAAATATTATAGATTTGTACTGTGGAATATTTGAGTTTTATGAAGCAGCATTTACCTTTACTTAGAGAAACAGTAGAAAAAGATAAAGAACACATGATCAGTCCTTAAGAATTTGAGATGAGCTCAGCAGGCTCCAGGTCTATGGCTAGTGGACCTATCCACATCGATAAAGCAATTCCATAAATTGCAGTATTAATGACCACATCCATCAAAAAGGTAAACGAGCTATAGTTTTGAGCCTGTACTTGGTGGATGTTTTTACTAACCTAGAGCAGTATCTATCATAAGTAACAAACACCATTTTAATGGTTCTACTTAAATTGATTGCATTTCAAAACGCTTACAAAAACATGCAATTCTGTAAATATATGATTATCTACATCAGTGCCACTAGTTTATTGGAAAGGCCAAAAATGATGACACTATTTTTCAGCAGACACCTAGCATAAGGATACCATTAAAGAGCTACGTTCAGTTAGAAGAGAAGCATGTCTTCTTACCCACTACTTCCAGAAGAAGCACCATCTCTACCCTTCGCGTAACAGCCTCGTGTAGTAGGCAAGGCAGACTACTTAACCTTCAGCCTTCTTTCAACCACTAATTAATTGTACACTCGCACATAACAAATATGAAATTTTACTGCTTTGTCAATGACAGCATTAACTCACTGAATGAAATCTGATCTATGCCTACGGCAACATGACATAATATTATACTTTGACAGCTCAATCAAAATACCATACTGCATCATACAGTATACTGTCCATTGTATAGATCTGGTAACCTAAAGAAGAGAGACCAACCATGGCTGCAACGGTCAGCCCGCATGGATTAACAACATGGCTGAAACAATTATCCAAAAGCCAAAACCAGAGCTGTTACTAGCAGGTTAAACCAAGGTAAGAGGGTAGGGAAGAACAAGTTTATTACACGAGTAAATATTTACCTTCGCATCTAAATGCATGCTACAAACCAAGTGAACTGGTAGCATAAAAATAAATGCTGATGTCAGCCAAAGAGGAGGAAGAGATGCAAATAAAAGACTAATTAATGGGCTAGATCAAGGGTAGGTCTCATTCATATGAAAGTTTTCCTTCCCCTTCCCTTTAGCCACCCATTCTGAAAAAAACGCAAGTAATGGAAAACTAACAGCATATGTGATGAACATATTTTCAGTTATAAAGCACTTGTCATTTCATGTATCCCTTCCAAAATACTAACAGACAGCAAGCTATCACCCCTATCCCAAGTAAAAGGCTGCAGCCAACAAGCACCCAGAGCCACGGTACACGAGGCAGACTCTCAGCAGCGAGACACAGTCCAGCTTTCACAGTCACTTCAGATCTTGGTTCCTAAGCAGGTACCACAAACTTCAAGAACATTTCAGAATGACCTGGAGAATTATCTGGTTAATTTTCTTCCAGTAGTCACATAGCTCAAGAAAAAAGGTAGATTAACATGCAACTAGAATTCATTTTTTGAACTTCAGATTTTTATTTACAAGACAAATTTTCCAGTATTACAGGGCAGAACATTTCATAACTGAACAAGGTGCATCGTGACCACTACACCTTTCACATCTTTTGCTTTGAAGAATCTTTTCCATTTTGATTATAAAGAACGTACAGGAACACACACTGTCCAAGTTTTAAAAATCCTTCTTTCTTACTTTGCTTTTTCTTCCTCTCACAAAACATTAAAGGTTTTAAATTTCAGTCTAAGCACTGAAAAAACTAAGGTATTCTGTTCAAATGTAATTAATTACACTTCTAATTTCTAGGGAAAATTGTTCGTCTAATTTTCTTACAAATCTGTATTTCCAAGGGTGGTAGGAAACTGTCAAAGAGCATCCGCTACATAGTAGTAAACCAGGTATTTTCATAACAGCATTGTGCTGCTACTGCATGCTAGGAACTACGGTGAACAAACCCACTGTGGTACTGCAGTAGAGAAGTACGAGTTTGTCTTTGGAACCTCAGCCAGGCATAAGGTGTAACACAAAAGGCCATTTACAATTAATTTCATTTTGTGGAAGAAACATTTAAAATGATTAAGTTTGGAAACATTTGGTTCACTTCAACATGCACTGAAATTTTTTTTAGTCTAATCTATATACAGCTTTCAAATTCCACATGTTCAAGAGTAAAGAAAATACGCAACTGTATATACTTAATTTTAAGAAACAAAGTAGTGTAGGAGAAGTAAGTATTCCCTCCACCCAAAAGGGTGTCTTGACCACAAACAGTAATCAACACTGAATAGGTACCATGCTGCTTAGCCTTGGAAGTTCATTGCTGTTATTTGACAGGCTACAAAAGCACACCCCTGGATGAAACAGCAACAAGGAAGCAGAAATTAGAGAGAGAGAAAGAGACGGGGGGGAGAAGGAGAGACCATATTTTATATAAGTCTAATCACTAATAAAACTGAGTTGTAAAAAAAGAAAAACTCTGGCATTCTTCTCCCCTTCTCCTAAAGGGCAATAATTTTTGTGCTTTATGTGCAGTGAGTTTTTCTATTTCTGTTCCACTACTAGCCACAGAACTCACCCTTTCATCAGCACAGAATTCTTTTCCAAAGGAGACTGGAGAGTTACATTGCAGAAAGGATCATAATAAAAGAGGTAGTGAAAAATAAAAAGATGCCTAAATATTGAGATATGGGCACATAGAAATTTTTCTTCTTTTTTAATAATGGCTACTGCTCAGACCCTTGCTGTCTTTTAACTCCAAAGTTACTGCAGTCATTTCTATAGACTGGGTATAGAAATGTGAAAGGGACACAAATTCAGGGTGTTTAATCAGAGCTGTACACTCAAAGATGCAATGACTGGTCCAGAAGGTATTGAAGAATTTTCTCTGTCAGACCAGCAAACAATCTTAGAATCTGAGATAAACTGCCACAACCACTGTCACCTTGATGGAAATCTTGGCTTGCCAATGAAACGACTATTTCCTAAAGAATCTCTGTATGGAGGTGTGGACACTGGTGTTGTGAATGCTCAGATCATCAACTGGTCTCCTTTGTGAATAACAAGGATGACAGAGGCCAGCACTACCATATCCAGCTCAGTCTTGTGAATGTCAGTATTTAACCCTCCCCACATTTAACCTAGTGAATGTGGGTTGCCTTCTTTTCTCCTTCAAGGAGAATGTGTTGCTTTCTATATGACACGGGAGAAACAACTCTACAGGCTTAGCATATTATTTCTTGTCGAAGCAGCAGTCTCACATAAACAAGTTCTTTAAAGAAGATGAAGGTGTGGAATGAAAGGCCAGCAAGAAGCAAATGGTACATAATAATCTCCAGCTACAACATCAAGAACACAGGCATGTGATACAGTGCACAGCTATGCACAATGGAATGAAGCTGGTCTGTTCCCCATTAGAGGTCTAAGCAAAAAGAAAAAGATGACACAAAAAAAGCACGGATTTTGAGATCAAGACACATCACCAGGAATTAATAATGAGACTGAGATGAAGGAGGCAGTGCCCTGTCTCATCACAGACTCTTCAGAATTCACCTACCCCTCCTCTCCTGACAGATGTCTTTATTAGAGAAAGTAGAAAAGCAGCAGCAAATTAAAATTCTCCCAGCCTCCACACAGGCCTGCATAACAGGCCACAACATTCTTCTCTCCAGCAAGAGAGAAAAAGCATCAGCGAAAAAATATTATGGTACACTGCAAGAGACCTGGAACATACCATGTGCTGGCATTGGGGTAGAGAGTATGAGGATAAAGATGGCAATCGAGTTAAGACCCAGATTCTCCTGCACTTAAAGTAGTAGTACCAAATGTAGGTGAAACTGGATGTAGAGAAGCTCGCCACACTCTGCTTAAAAATACTGGTGAACGTGAAAAAGACTGCGACTAACTCCTACACGTGACTCTGTAAGGATGCCAAAAGTGGCACGGAACAGTTAAATAATACTGGGAGAGGATCCAAGGAGGGTATCATAGCCTGCTTCAAAAGCTGATAGATTGGAGAGGGAGATGTTTTATTTGCTTGGTTTTTTTGGTTTGGTGTTAGGGGTTTTTTTGGAAGTACTGAAATCTATGCCTTTGTGCTGAGTTTATCAGGAAAAACTTTATCTAAATGGTAAATACCCCTGTCATACAAGTCACTAGGTGGGATGCAGCTGCATACAGGCTGAACTTGAAGGTTAATTTTTAGTAAAGCTATCAAGACTGCCAGTTGAGAAGTAAATGACTGTTGACAGGTACAGATCCTGAAGTAGCAAACCATCCTATCCAAAGGAAACTGCACTAGCACAGAACTTTTCACCAGATCTTCCTGCGGACTGAAGAAAAGGCAAGCAAAGGTAAAAGCATATCCTCTGCTGACATCCATGAAGACACAAAGTTCCTCTGTTTCAGTAACAGAGACACTCTGCTCTGTGAACATTTGCATGGACAGAGGACATTTGCTGTTGTAGTAGTAAATCCACTATGGTGGGCACAAGCACCAGAACACTGTATGCCTGTGAGCTACTTACGAAGGAATTGCAACGTACTACAGTTCCAAACCAAATTAAGCATCATATCAGCTGCCAGTGGCATAAAAATGCAAAGCCAACCAACATGAAAGACACCTGTTCAAAGGTACATAATAACTTACCCTTTAGCTAAGTATAAAACCCAAAAATAATTCCTAATTGATTCAGTTTCAACAGCTGTAGATTTTCTTCCCCCTTTCAATTACTGTTTAGCAATTGGAAAGTCCCAACTGTACCTTTTCTGCCTTTTTGTCAGAGATATCTTGCTTTTCTAGAACTGCCATACTCTCCTTCAGGTTCTTCACTATGTCTGCAGGAGACTTATGGGACTTGCCAAAAGGGAATGGCATGATTGCGAGCCACAGGATCTTCCTTCTACAGCTCCTGCTTCACCTGGAAAAGGAGGAGGAAAAAAAGCACATCAAAAATAGAAACTTGAGGTCAGTATAACAATACATGTGAAGATCAAGGGAGAGTAGCAAAGGTATTTGTATGTGGAATAACCATTCTTGACAGTGGAACTAGAGCTTGCCATGACAAACTTAAATGCTCGTGTTTCTAATTATTTTAAAGCACAAGACAGAAAATCTAAGAACTCGCATTAAGATCATTATCTTATGCTACAGGAACAAATTAAAGAGTACATTAATTATATCCAAAGCCACATACTGTACAAATACCACATATGGGCAAGACTAACAAGGATAAATTATTCCAATTGATGTTGTCAAGCAAAATGCCTTCTTCTATTAGGTCTTTGACACACAAGTCACCAGGTCTCAGTTGCTCTGTAATGACTGTCCACGTACATGCTTTTACCCATATTTGTTCCATAACAAATGCAAACTAGACCACAAAGCCTGTGCCTTAGTGCAGGAGCTATGAGTATGATGAATATAAGGTACAGAGAGCAGCTTATTCCTATGCCAAAATACTTGGAACGTTCTGGCTTTTTTACATCAATATTACTGTAACTTCATAGTGAAATAGTGTCTCACCCCCACCCGTTTTATGGGAAACAAAATTTGTCACCAGTAACAGGGACGTAAATAGGGCACTTTGGAAACATTAAAACCAAACGCCGGTTAGGTATCTTTTTCAAAAAGATAAAACTTGTCTTACAGGAGCAATTTTCCTTCCCCCAAAATATTTGGCTCTTGAATTCAAATACATTCATTCCTCTGTGTATTTATATATATTTGTTTTTACAAACACACACATTTACTCCTGTGTACAAAACAGAAAAGTATTACTACTATAAATGAGTATACAAAAGCTTTTGTTACTAAACACATACACCTCCATTTAAACAATAATAAAAACTTCTTGCAAGTGAATTCCATAAAGCATACTTCTAGAACTCTAATCTAGACAGATAAGAACAGGAAATCCTGCATTAAAAATGCTGACAGTGCTACTTCTGCTAGACACAAAGGACAGCTGAAGCTGACAGAGCAGAGATTACACTGCCATTACAAAGAAGGGATATCACCCTGAAAGTTAGTAATTTCTATCTCCACACAATGTTCACAAAGTTAGTAAAAAGTCAACCATAACCACTACATGTTAAAGTTTTTTATCTAACACCATGCACTTTGATCCTTGATTAAAATACCAGCTCATTCACCATGAACTCCAAAATGTTAATCCTGATCTTATTCAATCATGTTTTGATCAAGAATTAAAAATACCAATTTGATGCTATTTTTGATTTATTTTGGTTTTTAACACAAGCAAGCTGAGCTGGCCTAAGGAGAACAATTTAGAGGTGAAGAACAGAAGCACTCAGTTCTTTAGCCAAGAGAATTTCCATACATAGGTATTTCAGGGAACCAGCGACAGCAATCACACCTTCACTGTTCCATGCCTGCTACTGACCTAACACAGCTGATTAAAAACTACCTACCTTATGCTTTTTATCAGATTACTTTCAGATAAAAGTATCAGCATGAAGGTTGAGACAAGACCTTCCACCGGCCATTTCCATTCTTAACAGATCATAAGGCCATGCTGTTGCTTTTATTTTGTAGTATAGTAATTTTCTCATTATAGTAATACCTCATTCATAATCTGCACAAAGAAGAGGTTGTAACATTGAAATTACTAATGCAGGACTGGTACCCTAAGAGATAAAAAAGTGCCCACAAGTCATTCATTACGAAAGAGAATTCTACGCCTCAACTTTGTCACACATAGTGGAACAGAAGCCTACCTTTCAGAAAAGCATGACTAATCATTGTTATTTAATGAAAATGTAACAGCATTTAAAATAATGTTTAATGAAAATTATGGTATTTTCACACAGGAATATTTTTCTAGAAAAAGATAAGTGTGAACATAGGTACAATTTCCGCACAACATAAATGACATACCTCAAGCATCACAGCAACATTTGAAACGTTCTCTTTATCTCTCCCTTTGATTACTACCCCTGCCAAATTAAGATGAGCCCTGAAAACAAAGCTGGATTCTTTCATGCTTGCATATCATCACTGATAATAATAGTATTTAACAACTACTCAGCATATTCACTCTGGAAGATGACATGTAACATGACAGGATCCATGTAACAGAGCAGGATTGACTAAAAAAGTTGCTAGTCTTAATTCCTTGGATTATGTGTTAAAGGAAAATAAAATCCAGAGGGAATCAAAATGGTTCTTTGAGAGAATAAAAATATTATCCGTAACCACAAAATATGGGATAACAGCAATATACAAAGAAAATAAATCAAAAGCAAGAAAATGTCTCTGCACACTCATTTTCTGGATCACAACTATGTTACTTCTAAACTAAAAGACTACATGAATAATATATGTAACATATAGAAATACAGAATCATGACAAACAACTGTCCTCACAGTGTGCCCAATGTCTCAGTTTGCAAAAGTTGAGTTCCCTGCAGATAGTTTCTTCTTTACATTAAAAATAAGTCTACCACTTTGACTTATGAAACCTTCCAGGTTCTGCATAAATCAGATACACCTACATGCATACGGAAGCCATACACAAGTTTTATTGTATGTACTAGCATCTCTAATGGAAAATAACCAATTAGCAACAATTCATTAACATGTATTTACACTAAACATTTCTTCCCAATTCAGGTATGTTCCTGTATGAATTTCTCGCAAGCAATTTAGAAAAATCAGGAAAGACTGCCAGCACCAGTAAGAAGGAAATCCACATCTTTGATTACTGAAGGTGACATTTTGCTTCAAGGTATTTACTTTATTATATAAAATGGAGTAAGTGCGTTGTTTCTGCTATTTCAATTTTACTACTAGAAGGAATGCAGTGGCACTGTCAGGAACATCATCTGGGGCCTCAAGACTGACAACCTCACCAACCCTGAAGCAAAACTCTATTACTGAAGAACCTGTGCAACATCCTGCCCCAAAAAAAAAAAAAAAAAAAAACCCCACACACCACAAACCAAACCAAAAAACCAAAAACAGGAGCAGTCCTTTGCCTCTCAGAGCTATACTTCATGCAGGGAGGAGAACATAGACAGGCTGTTCCCTTTTCAGCCCAGCAAAACTACCCCAAGCAGCAGTCTATGCACAATAGACAATGACAACATCTGTGTGAGATCGGAAAGAACTGCAACCACCCACATCTGCAAAATGAGAGAAAAAGGAAACAACATCAAATGACATTTTCTGTAAATAAGAACAGACCTTACATGATGTCAAATGATAGCTGTTTCGTATTACTAGCACCTGGTTGCCTTGCAAATTCATGATAAGATTTTGATTGTGGCTTAAGAAAGGGATCACAGGACTCTTGAAGAGTTGAACTGCAACAAGTACATGGTCAGCTCTGTGCTCTGCTGGGCTGCTTTCCTTTATCTTACCTTCCTAGAAACCTCATTACTTTTATCCACTTATCAAGAGACCATGAACAATATTACACAAAACTCAGGCTTTTAGGCACGCATTTTATTTCACCAATACCCAAGCACATCAAACCTAACAAAATTTAAGGTCCTCAAAGTATCGGCGTCACAGCCACATTTAGAAATATTAAATGACATTATAAATCCAAATGGATCATCAAACAACAATATGGCATGCAGACAAATACCCAGAGATTTAAGTACAGACACAGAGCGACTGACACACACTCAGGCACACTGGGACATTTGGGCTTTTGTGATAACAAGAGATAGTAGTCCCACTGTTTCAGACAGCATAGAGTTTCCAGCTCTGTCAATGCAGCATGCATCCGTGCACAGTTTGCTTTATGTATAAGGCTTTGTATTTTTTATTCACTGCGTTGACCACACAATCAATTAATGTCCAATTTAAAACTAATGCCTTCCTTACATAAGAATGGGGTTTTTTAACTAAGGCAGGCAACATTTGAAAGTTTCTCTGTGAGGACAGCGCTCTTGCAGCAAACAATTTTTTGCTGTAAGAACAAATACAGAAGCATGATAAACAAATCCCTCTCTTTTAACATATTTTAATTCTCTAAAGAATAGATTCACTAGCCTGGCGTATGCTCTCTCTTGTACTCGTTAACTTTTTCTTATTTGAAGGGTGAGAATATGTGCTACCTATATAACAGTAGAAATTCGTGCTACAATGTAAAACCTGATTACTTGACAGCAGAAGGGTTGTTTTTGTTGTTGTAGGTGGTGTGTTTTTTTTAATGAAGCATATTGTAAGATGCCTGTGTGACCATTTTCAAGAAAATACTGGCACAATAAACAGTACAGTAACACTCATGACTGCAGTGGCATGTGCAAAAAGTTACTCCACAGACAAACAAATTACCAGCACTGAAGTCTCAGTGATGCAGGCTTTTAAAGCTATAACGAAGGTAAAGCAAGACTAGCTGTATAAGCAAAGACACAACAGCAAACTCAGCCTTTCTGTTTATCACATACCATGAATTACCACAACATAAAAAAGTTGTAACTTCTTTTCTCCGCATAAAAGTATACTCCATACATAAAGCATCAAATGAATTCAAATATTCACACTATTCCAGCTCAGGAGAGCAAACACCCGCCTTTCGCCCATGCAAAATGCTACTTAACATACAAAAACCCCTACATTTCCAATTTTGTGAAACAACCACGTACAATAAACTCAATTTCTTACTCTATTGTAGGCCTCACAGTTTAATTGCACTACATTAAGTCTTTAGCTAGATCTTGTTGACTTGCTTACACACCAAGACTTGAAGGTGACTGCTTTTAGTGAGCTCCTAATGAGGAAAAAAGCCTTCAGCCACTTTCTGGCTACAATTGCACATGTTTAAAAAAATGCAAGCCTAACGAAAAAGCACATGTAACATCCCGTTAATGTGCACATAAGAAGAAAACTGCTGAAGATCAAACAAAATCAACATAATTTTAATAAGGCCAAATACTTAATGGTAAGGTT